CGTTTCTCGGTTTTATCGTCGGGGGACAAGTGTAACGAGAAACGAGTTTCGACCAGGGCGAAACACGAATGCACGGATCGGGACAGGAATCGCTTTCGGACAATCGGCCCGACGTATTGGCGTGATTTCGCGCCATTAATCTTTTCCAACCTCGACAATTAACCGGCCGCGGGGCTAACGCAATGCCCCGGCTATTAATTACAATCAACGCTATTTCACGCACAGGACCGATACGACGTTTAATCTCGAGGACCAGGGGAATGCCATCGTTCCGAATTCGTATCGACACTTGGGTCCCCCTCTGATCATTGTCGAACTGAAAAAGGTTACTCTTTGCTGATAATAATTATTGCCGGTAACGCACGACTCGACCGTTGACCGACTTCCTTCGATAATGGTCAACACGACTGTTGTTCGTGGAGAAAAATGAACGGGAGTAACTTTCGAATCGAGCGGTCGTGTCCCCTGTTGGTCGTTGTAGAGTGTTGCACGTGGTTCCTTCTGCGCACGAAAGATGGCACGATTAGGATGATTTTTTTCTTGAATGCGTTGAGTTTGAATTTATGGACCTTTTATGGTTTTACATTAAGGTGCGTCTTTAATGAGATATGTAAATGTATCCACTTGGAAGAAGGTGGGATGCATCTCATTAGTATAAATATTTTTACTGCGTTTTTTGACACCCAGGTGGGTTCTTCTTCGCTATAATATAGCTTGAAGTATATGATAACATACTTCAGAATAACTCGATCGCAGACCACATGGATCAGATTTGTTGTTTTCTTTTTTTCTACACTTTTTACCCGCTGTATGTAAACGAAGCTCACGTTCTGTTTGACTCTGCATATACCATCACAATTGACGAGTTATTTTGATCCATTCTTAAATGACTATGCATACCATCTATATAGATTCTTTATTGTTCATAATATATCCAGTACCCATCGTAGCCCGTCTTCTCGTTCATTCGAAGGTGGGGAAAAGGTCACGGACCGGTGGAATCTCGAGGAATCAAGATCGAGAAAACCGTATGTAAAGTAGAATCAATTAGTACTAAATGTCGAGCGGTCTGATTTACGAAAATGAGATTCGGAAACACACGTTGCACAAGCGAGAACTTTCACGTTAAGTAAGCACGGCTGTTTCGAGCCGCTCTTTCCGGAAGATACGATCGGGGTGATGCTAAAGGCTTACTTAAAATATTTGTCACACGGCGAGCACACGATACGCAACCGCGGCGCAGTTATTATGAATTACGAGGCCCGCTCTGTGAAATCCAGGCACCATATATTTGATTTAATGAGGTAACAAGTGCACCGAGACGTATAGCAAGAACCCGAACAGGTAATTAATCTCACCCCGATTTCTACCTGGGGTTTGCTTGGACGCATTCTACTTCATTTAAAATGACATCTATTTCGGAACCCGGCTATGCCCTGTTCGTTAGCCCTCAACGGAGGACGCAATGTTCTTCCGGCGAATTTGATTTGTTATTCATTATTTATTGCTTCCTTTATGCGCCGATGGTACATCCCAATTCTTTTGGAACACCATTCACGACCTGTTTGCTTCTTGAAAATTTTGTAATAAGCTTTAATAATAGACGTAATATTACGTTATCCTTATGACGAGTATAGTATATGCAGGAGTAATAATGAAAGGAATATATTGATTCTGGGGGAAAGGATGATATAATAATCGCAGTGCAAAAGACGAGGTTGTTATTCAATTCGACGGTAATAAACCTTTCGCTTCAATTCTTAACGGGAATATTATTCACCATAAATTGTATATCAGCATTATCATCCATGGTAGTACATATAGTAATTGGAACATCTTGAATCTTCTGAACGCAATTCAATAATACCGTTTTCATCTATATTTTCATTTCCAAAATTGTATATTACTCTCTCCCATCAACCCTCATTCAATTCCCTCAAAAACTGTCGCGAAATAACTCTATGAAACAATCTCATTTAACACAACCAATGAAAACACGCACAATTGACTCAAAGCTGAATTAAGATCGTGTATATACAACTTAATCCTGCCCACACCCAGTCCACGCACATTCCCAGCGACCAGCAAGAGCTCTCTCCACTCCAGTCCTAGTATGCATAACGAGGACCACCGAATCCCCGATTCCTTTTTCCTTCTATCTACTTTTTTGTGGTCACCCCGACGGGGTTCCTTCTTCTCTTTTTTTTTTTTGTTGGGGGGATTAATCACGGCAGCGTAGAATCCTCCGAGAGCTGCCGAACCGAGCAACAGCCCAATCGCGGCCGATTGATTCACGGCCCCCGGGGTCTCGTCGGGAACCAGGAAGGATAAGGTAGAAAGTGGCGAAAGAACAGAGAAGGAGAACGTGGAATCGCGGTGTTCCCTCGCTAATGCACGCGTCGAGGAGGGGAAGGAGTGAGAGGAGCGGTGGGTGAGGCGGGCCCCTCGGTTCGTTGATTAGCGGATATCTTAATTACTGATTGGCCGCGCGGACTAATTAAATCGTAACTCAATCAGGACCCCACCCCATTCGACGCAACCGCCTGCGATTTTACGACGACGGCTACGAGCGGTTTAGGATCCCCGCATACACATACATACATATATGTATACGTGTCTCAGTTTGTTGCATAAACGATTCTAACGCATCGGGTATTGCACCAGACCGCCGGGGCCCCGTTCCATCGGCTCGCTAAGGCCCGTGTCTCCTTTTTACTCGTACACGCGCTCGCTTTTTTCCATCGGCCTTCTCCGCTCCGGCTGAACCGAAGCTGGCTCGAGCCAGGCATTATGTCGGGATGGAATAAAAAGTACTGTAATTAGTAGTACCTACCGCGGTGTCCACGCAGGTGAACGATGTCCTACGGATCCTCCCTCTTTTCGGGACCCATTCGTCCGTGATGCGAATTTTCCCCCGCTTGGGCTACCACGAAATTAACTTCCGTGGGGTTCGTTGCCCCGTAGCTGTTGTGTTTCTATCTGTATTGTTTAAAGATAATAGTATTGTGGGCTGTTAACCCTATCGTTACTAAGGGTGAACCTATGTCGAGCGTTCGTTGTGTATTATCGGTGGCTATAATCCCAATGAAGGGCCCCAAGTGTCCGACTTCGATTTTAACAGGGTTCTGGAAGATGACAGTGTACAGGTTTCTGATGATTTATATTTGTGGAATATTAGGTGTAGACACTCGATAATTTTACAGATATAACAGTTAAAACTTATCGAAGTACAAGGGTGTTTCGCTGGTAAATCGGAGGTCCTGGGATCCATTGGGGAGGTCATCCTGGCCGTGATAGACAAGCAAGACCTCGTCAAAAGGCAGTGAGGCAGACGATCCGGGTTGACGATTGAAATTCGAACACGTTTTGAAAGTCAAATCGCGTACGGTCGCATTATGTCGGGCTGAATGTGCACGAGTGGAATTATGTCATTAGATCCATAATCAGTCGCCGCTGTATAAATTATGCGCGCGGGGACGCGTCATCGAGATAATACAGAAAAATTGCTTCATCTCGGAAGCCGGTGGTGGTGGCCACGAGATGAAGACGTTGTCGGTGCGTGCCCCGTCGTTATTGGTGTGGCTTCCAGCCGCAGGAAACCCCGTTGTCTCCTCTGTTTCTCTCTCTTTCTTTCGTAACGCACATTCGTTAGCGTGGATAATGAATCACCGACGCGTTCCCCGTGCTCCTGTCGCGAGAGTTCGACGAGATACCGACGAAGAATTCGCCGTTGGGTCGGTCGACGACAACGCCGCGTATAGGGTATCCCTCTTCTGGTACAGTCGGGCCAGTCGTTTCGAGAATACGAATCGAGAAAGAGAAAAAGAGGGAACGTGGCGGAGCCATTAAAAGCAGCAGGTACTCCAGCTCGCCACTTGTCCCTCTCTCTTTCGTGCATTCCTTCTCGATGCAGATTTTCGGCACCATCGTCTCCCCATCGGCTCGATGAAGTTTTGACTCTGTAATTGTCGTAATGTATCATCGCCGATTATTTCCTGGCTTGTATACCTGCAAAAAAAGGAGGCCTCTTCTTCCTGCGAGTCGCGCAGTCCTGAAACATTGGAATCGGTATGGTACTCGTACAAGATAGGGCTTAATTTGTGATACAGTCGAAAGTAAGGTGTTTATTGTTTTTTTTTTTCTCTGCGCTGGTATATGTGTCCATCTTCATCCTCCACTTTATAGCCCGTTGGATCTACCGATAATTGAAGCTGCTTCGGCCGTATTACAGACATCGTGCCCGCTTCTGTTCTAACTCGACGTGACTGACGGTTCCGGCAGGACCTCCCCGAAGATGCTGGATGACAAAGAACCTTTGACAGTGGTGTCGACGCTTAAACATCCTAATTGATGCCCCGACTGACAGAGACGGAGGGGCCGGGTATCCGGGCGCGCAGCCCCGCGAAATTTCATAACAAATCGGCGTATCGTTGACGGTCGCGGCTACGAAACTGGCTGTTCTTTATGTATATAATAGCGATCGTTTTATCATCCGGATCGCCTACGGCGGGACGTTTAACCGCCCCGTACCATCTCGCCAATTAATTACAGCCGGTTCGCATTAATCTCGGCAAATTGGCCGAAATCGTTCCAAGCGCCGCGGCTCGATTTATAGCCGCTCCCCTATTCATTGGCCCTGCGCAACAATAAAGAAAAAAGAAAAAAAAAACAGATCGATTTGTAAAACAAACACGCCTTATAATCGTGTCGCGTTCCGCCATGGAAACGCTATATCCACCGTGGCTCTCGTGGTTTCCGTGAAATCCCTTAACTGATGCAAACAAGCACATAAAACGATTCGCGATATCATCCGCGGCTCGGTTTTATTTTCCGCTCCGACCATCCCGTGACTCTTCTTGCGCCGCTGCGTGATGAAACACGATCGAGATCGCGCGCCAAGAAACTGCCTCGTGACTTCGCGAATTTCTTTTTATTTTAATTCCGCAACGTGACAAAATTGACGAGGACAATTTTGGGAGGTTCCGAGGTGGATTTCCGCGTTATTGGAGAGCTTGGAGTATCGATCTCTGCGTCTCGTAGATCGACCGGCAAGATGCCTCCGTGAGCTCTTGCTCCTCAGGTGTGTAGGGATGACGTAAAAAGGATTGGATCCCGTTTCGGCCGACTATACAGGGCAGGGACATGTACACGTCCTTTTCTAAGCCGTGTCGGCAACCCTGGGGAAAGGTGAAGATTGGTTTACGGGCTTCGTTACACGTGTCGGTGGGCTTGTCGAGATAAATGAAACCGGTAAAAGTCCGAAAGCTAAGAGTTCCTTTGGTTACTTGTTGATACTTTCGTGCCTGGCGATGGTTCTTTATCGAGCAATCGAATCACCGAATTTAGTTTCTTTTTACGGCGTAAATTGTCGTGTTATTTAACCGTATTCGAACTGGGTATAGGTACTAAATTTACAGAATCTATCCTACTTGTTGAATCTATTTACTAACTTCACGGAAATTGTTCGATGAATCTGGTGATTCTGTGTAAACTAACAGAACTACAGAATCGGTTGATACTAAATAAAGAAGGTAGTTTAAATAAGAATAGGAGAATTGAATTGTTTCGAGTCACCTTTAGATAAGCCGACACAGTGATGCAGATACACGTGTTCCGAACAATAGCGTCCACAACTTCAGCGGCGCAGATGCCAATGCCCCAGCTCCGATAACCCTTCCTGGCGATAAGATCGCTGTCGGAATCGACGACTTTCGTGTGCAGCTCGCCCCAGGATTCAGGATCTGTTTTCATTCCGATATCCTTATTGATGTCCTTCAGCTTGATCCCCATTACCGACACCGCGGACCATACCGGCACTACATCCATTCGTGTGAAAACGCACGTTGAAAAATGTTGAAATGACGAAAAAACTTTATGGAACGAGATTCAAACTAATCACCCGACGTTGCTCCGTTTTCACAGATGACAGACGCCTGCACCGCGCCCGCCGAAATTCCAAGCTTCTGCGCGATGAAGTGCTGAAGCCTGCAGCTGTCAAGAAACGTCCCAAGCCCGATCACCCGTTGCGGTGGGAAACCTGAAAGCTTCATGGCTGCGTACGACAATATGTCCACTGTAAGGTAGGCATTCCATCATTACACTGACGCGTGCTTAACGATGTCGAAAGTTATGTACGGTAAATACCGGGCGTCGTTACGATCAACAGCACGCTGTTTGGTGCGTACTTGCATACGTTCGGCACGACATCCTTGAAGATCTCGAAATTTCGCTCCAACAGGGAGCCGTTCTCTTGATTGTTCGTTGACCTGTCGCCTACCGTGAACACGCAGACTGTCGCGTCCCTGGCCATAGAATAATCTTAACGGTACAAAAATTAAAAATTACAATCTCTGATCGTCCTGTTCGAGATTATACAACGGTTATTATAGAATCGATATCGAGAATAGTGAATTATAGCCACCTTTTGTCCCGATGATCCTCGGATTACCGAGAAACGCAGCTGCGTGGCTGATGTCTTCCGCTTCAGCTTTCGCCAAGTCCTCGTTTAGGTCTATGAACACCAGCTCGGATGCCAGACGCTGCGGTGATCCAGAGGAGATGCGCGGAGAAATGAAGATTATAAAGGGTAATTAACGGGGCAACCGACCAGCCAGTGGCTCGGGGGGCCGGGAGTCATTACGCACTCGGAATAGTTACGCAATCAAGACCCCCAGGAATCGCATTAAGACTCGACGCGCGCGGGCGCAATCGATCGCGGCATTCGAGCGATCCCTTAATGCGAGGGATCGTTAGGATCTGATCGTCTCGGTTCTCGACCAAGAGGCGGCTCTTTACCCGGCTCCCGTTGTAGGGCATCAAGGGCGGACGAAAAAAAAGATCTCGATTTTTCATGCGATCCGGGTTTTCATTTGGTAAAGAGCCACGAAGGTATACGGTAACTCGATTACTTTTATAATGTATAGGATCGTTCGGAAAGTTTGTAGAGTTTCAAGCACAGTGTTTTCATTATTTTTTCACTGGACGAAGGAAAAACCTTTTTATTTATTTTCCAAGTATGGATTGAATTTATTTACAGTACAAGATATTCGTAGTCTTTTTTTATGAAGAATACCGACGAAACGTATGGCAAACATAAAGTCTATTTTCATTAAGTTCTATTGGACTTGTAAAAACAATTACTCTGACTGGAAAATTAATTAATCTTTGTTCAATCAGATGATTATTCTTTTAGATTACTAGAATATTTTTCATAGAAACACACTTACGAATACTACGAACTTTTCTAACAACACAAAATTTTTGTCTCGACTTACTAATTTTAGAGTAGATATTCTAAATATCAAACTTATGTTATTTGTTATCTGCTGCTTAATGTCCAGAAAAAGATCGTTCCTGTTTCTTCTTAATAGGTTAGGTACAGAGTAACATATACTTTTCCATCGTCTGACATTTATAATCCCCGAATATCATCCGTGGAGCTGTTGTAACAAGCTTCCAAATGATTTTCTTTTCGACACTATCTCTTCCCATCATCGAGAATCCATCATATTCCCTCGAGATACTTTTTTTTTCACCATAGCCGACACAGATTCTCGTAACGTTGCTCGGCTCCAGTAATCATTCATAATCACAGTCTAATTTGACCCATGAAAAATAATAGGGTACCCCTTCCACTAAAGGGGGGGAAGAGGCCACGTGGGGCCTAGACGCGAGTTCCCGTGGTGAAATAGGCTCCTCCGATGGATGCACGCTTCTTCACTTTCGCTTCCGCGCGAGCAGATGGACACATTTTTCTCTGACAGATGGTGCTTTCACACGTTAAGAGAAACCGGTGCGCTGCTACCGCACGAAGAAAACGGCTTCTTAATATATTACGTTACGCCCTTGTGCGTCCAATCTGTTATTGTACACCGCTTAATCACCATACTTCATCAAGCATGACTTCCGCAGCATGCATAATATCCCCCCTAGCTGATGAAGTTTCCTCGCAGGGGCCACAGTTCTCTTTCTTCTTCTTCTTTCGTGTAACCACTCCTACCCCTCTGCGTCGCTCGTAATACCCTCGTGACGATATTGTCTCGGTAATTAACTTACAAACTCTTACTATATAGATTGTAACGAGATTTTCTTTTTTAATGATCCGTGACCGATGATAACCGACGAAGGGGAGAAAGTGATGCTAGACAGAATCCTCCAATGGCAGGACGATTCAAGCGAAACGAGCCGCCCCGGTGTTACGTAATGACTGTAATTTGTATTCTATCTGATCGAAAGCGAGTGGTGTTTTGTTCGGTGCGCAGCTTCTATGTATGCCTCTCGTGAGGTTCTAGTTACCTAGGTCGATGGAGAGACAGAGGCGTCTTCTTGGTTACCTTCGTATACTTTTCCACCTCATAGAGCCACGATTCACAGGACACCGAAGCTGCGAGACACTCGATCTGTCGCGGCGTTTCATTATTCTATCGGTGTGTTCAGCTTTGATATTTTATAAGTGTCTTCATACGTCCACAAGATATTAGATATTCTTAATACTTGGTTCACATGGGGGATCAGTTAATTAAGTGAATCGAACGGGATCAAATCTGTCGCGTTGGTGTGTTCACGAGTGTGAGTAGTTGCACTTGTCGAGAGTTTGATAGACGGACGAATCTCCTCTAGGTATATTCTAGTGACTTCGGTATAAAGACTTTAAAATTAAATCAATTACGATACTGCACTCTTGGTAAACTCTCCAAAGTAGAACATCTAACCAGATTATTGCTATTTTTACCACTTAGCTTCAATTATTCATCATCATTCGACCTATCAATCTATTAACTGGTGAAAGCGGTTTACCACGTCGTTCATACGCGTCTTCATCCTTCAGCACTTCACGTAACTAATGATTCATAGATGTGGTCCTAGTGAAAATTACATTCACCTCGCGTTCACAGCGGCAAAAGCTTCGTCTTCTTTCGTTTTCATTCCTCCTTAATTATGTCCGCATAGATGATCGTGATCGCAGTGAACAGCCGGTCAACAGGTTCAAGCTTCAAATTTAAATTATCCTCATTTGTCGTTACAAAATTGCAAGCAGAAGCGCGCACGAATAGCAAGAAGGGAAGAGGACAAAAAAATGGGGTTATCTCGAAACGAGATTTGGAGCAGGCAGCGGCCGCGGGGACGGGCGGCGGACTCTTCATCGTCAGTGCCGACCTGCGAGATGGTTTGTACGATTTAATGCGGCCCGACGGACATGACATGTTACAACGGCCCGTGGAACGGACGAGAACAAGAAGAAGATGAACGTCTTATGCAAGTACTACCGAGGGAACTTGGGCGTAGTTGGTCCGCAAGGTGGACAGTAAAGGGCCTTTGGAGATGGTACTGGAACGCTGGTGCCTCCTGCGATCATCTCGTTGATGCGATCTGCCAAGCAAGATGGGGGAAGGGGGGCGACCGCACGGTTCACTACCTTGTTCTCGTTTTCTTTCTCACCTCCTTTTCCTTGTTCTTCCGCGACCGTCCCTCTTCGTTCTTTCCCCCGTTGCGGTCCATCCGTTTTCTAAGGACGGCGCTTATTGGCACCAACGGACGAGAACTTTTTAGGTTTTCGTTTAACGAGTTCGATGACTCCCCGACGTTGACCCCCGATTCTTCGAACATTTCTAAACACTTATTTCGCGTTAGAGATTTGCAGGCGGCGGAGATTAACCTGTTGATACCTCTTCACCGTGGCAGTTCGTAAAGCTACCAGGGCGGATGTAATGACAATTCAAAGATAGGTACCATTTTTTGGGTCTACTGATTAGAACATTAAAATCAAGTTGTTAACGTGGTGGGGGTATAACGGTATAGTACGATATTGCTGTATCTTCATCAATTTGTTCGAGGACATCGTCAGTGAACGCTAATAGCGTTCTGTTCTTTCATACGGAAAATTAGTGAGCGGTGCAATTTAAATAATACCGTTGAATATTCTATTCCTCAAAAGCTACTATTACGCGACTTAACTGACGGAAACGTTTCTAAGTAATAGCGTCGTCATTTGCATCATAATTTCGTCCAAAAAGGACTCTAATAACGGTCAGTTGCGTTCTTATGTTCGCGGCTTTTATAGCCTCCTCCCATAACGATCTACGGAAACCGAAACCTAAAATTAAGTCGGCCACGTTCGTTGCCCCCTTTCGAAATGTGTCGACTGTGCCTTGGTTTACCCAGTCGCTGTATTGTTCTTCCGCCGACAGTTCACCCTATTTCACTGTAGTTTCCTCCACAGATTAATGTAGCAATTACACGTAGTTGTATTTGTGTCAATTAGGTGATTCATCTGTTCAACCAGGTGTTTTAGGTTACTCTATGTCCAGAACACCCTAACTCCCAACAAGGGTTCATTTTTTCTACGTAATGTTACCGGTTAAACAAATCACGGAGTACCGTAACAATTTACAGATATTAAAATATAGGTTATGTTAAAGTTTAGGGAAGGTGGTTGTGGAATTTAACCAAACCTTCTCGATTCGGCTTCAATTGCTACTTCCGCGCTAAAGGAAGCACCGGCGAACGCACGAAAAAGGAATGCTCGGATGAGCGACCGCGATAAGGACAGGGTGTCCCTGTGGACGGGTATGGATTTCAGCTTTCCTCCTCGGTGACTAACATAAATCAGTCCTGGGACAATCCTGCGGGGGCGTTCTACGTGTAAATGCTCGCGTTACGATCCGATAACGAGCGAGAGGAAGCACGTTCCTCTTCTACTTCTGTCCCATCCCTCCCTTCCTTCTTCTCCTTTTACGTTCCGATCTCTGCCCTGTTCCCGTAGCCGAATTCCCTCTTCTGGTCTTTCGTGAATCATTTGCATAATAGCCTTTTTGATCCGGCACACTAACGAGCCAACATTCAGCCCTCGTTCACCGTAAACGTGCGTATACGAGCGCACACGTGTAAATGTGGGACCAAGTCGGGCCATTCCGTGGACTACACCCGCCCTTTATCGACCATGATCCTCGAAGACATCGTTCGAGATCCTCGAGAGCCGAGGCGATGATTCCTTTTTGGACGACTACGGATCACGTGCTGTATTGATCAAGTTGATTCGCAATCTTTGAATAAATGGTCATTACCCATTTATCCAGAACTGTTCGTTGTATTTGTCACTGATAATAGCATATAATGGTAGATTAAGTGGTTTAAATGGCGTTAAATTTGAAAAAAGCTTGAAATGAGACGTAATACTCTGGGTCTTCATAAGGAGGAACTTATAGCTTCAAGTCCTTCGTATGGCAATAAGAGGCAGGATACTATCATCATTTAAAAGACATTAGACGATTCTTAATGTCTCGACCACTTGCATTAAAGTGATATCATACCACGTGGCATGTTCAACGACTAATTCGAGTAAGATTGGAGCTGAGGTTAGAATCGAAAGTGAGACGGTTTCCACGAACCTTGAAGAGTATGGCAATCCCGACAGCGACGCCGGTGTAACCGCTGCCGACGATGACGATCTTGACTCGATGGCTGTCCGCGTAATCCTCCGCTTGTTTCGTCAGCAAAAACTTTGCGGTGTTCCCGGCGGTGTCGTTCGCCTTCTTCTTCGCCACGGACATCGTCAATGAACACGATACTCACAGTCAAGCTTCTGCATCACAAGAATTTGAATATACCCGAACCATGTCAAGTTTTACAGTTTTCATGTAAATAAAAAATTTCACAACATCGAATAACCAAAGTGACAGATCAAACATTGACATCGGATTTTCGTGTTTGAAGTTGCCTCCGCATTGGAACATATATACATATATAAACTGAGCGCACAGAGAAACTATTGTTAATTCTACAAAGTTACTAATTATCTTTATTTCCTATAATACGAACACCAACACGAAATCGACGAACAGCTGTCGATATTCGCGCAGGTGGGATATTACACATCATAATCGAACGCGTTGAACAAATTTCAATTTCCGGTCGCAAGAGCTTTTACATCGAACAACTTAGGATCCATTTACTTACAACACCGGGGCCCTAGGTACGAATAACTAAATTGCCACCAATTTAACATCACCCACCGTATTAAGTTCTTCAAGGAACCGTGCTATTATCGAGCGTATTCGGTTGCCAGGATATGTAATTACGGAAATTTCTAAGCTCGAAGCTTCGTCTCGAATAACAGATTAAATAAAGTAATGGAACCGTGCGATTATACTCCCCACGTAATTACGGTATTGGATGTTGTTTCGTACAACTATTTGAACAACGCGTTAATATCGCACACGTCGAAGATCTATGGACCGACACCACGAACAGCGCATAATACGACACGAAACGGACAGTCGGTTGGTCGCGATAGTTTTCCACGAAGTCGAGGCCTGGGTGTCATTTATTACGCCGATCAAACACTCGCAACAGGGGGAACCGGTCGCCAGGTGCGGCCGCATCGTTATTGATGAAGACGCGGTTCTAAAACGTTCTTTCCTCTTCCTCTGTTTTCCCCCAGACCGCAATTTCCGGCTGTACACGCTGCTCCTCTCGTCGTGGTGTCTCTTCCTCCGCCTTTACTATCCTCCCCTTATTCTTCGCCAGCGTTTTCCGACTCCTGGAATATCCCACATTCTCGCAGCACGCCTCGGATGCTGTCGGCGCACGTCTGCACCGCGGACTTCTCCCGGTCGGACAGCTTCTGTCTAACAGTGCAATACACACCTTCCCGTCCGATCACACAGGGCACCGACATGTACACGTCCTTGTCCGTCCCGTGGGCGCAACTCTGCGCACAAAGAGATTGCCTACCTCACCAGCCGCGTGTAAATCGTTAGAAGTGTACCGATGCATCGACTAGTTGCACCTTTCTTCGAGAATTCTCGGGACGATTTGAACGAGTCATGTTTGTGGTATAGGCAGTGTATTCATTCCTGAGATAAGTGTGACAGGGGTAGCATTTTATTCTGAGTATTCTGTATTCTTTCTGTCGAAACTTAACACCTTGACACGTGGTGCAGTCTAGGTTTTGTGTTATGTTGCTCAAACTCAACGAGTTTGTTGAGGTATTTGGAGTGTTTAGGATGCTGAAGGTATTTCTAATATTCGTTATGTTTTACTAGTATTTATTATGATTTATTGTAGACTGACTTACGTGTATATGTGTTGACACTGGCAAGACGACTTTCGTGTTCCTAACAATAGCGTCGACGATTTCAGCAGCACAGATAGCGTGTCCCCAACAGTTTAAACCCTTCTTTTCATCCAGTTCTTTGCCACTGGAACGTGCACGTCCATAATAAGATTAGAATCGTCCGTTTAGTCTCCTCGTCTTGCACAATATATTTTTTCCATTTACTATAACAACGGTCACATACCATCCCTTCACAGCGTCGTCAATTTCGTACCATTTTTCGGGGTCATCCGGCTCTCCTATTCTGGGGTTTATGTCACGGAGCTTCATGCCTCCTACATGGATACTCGACCATAGAGGAACTGACAAGTAATATTTTTCATAAAATTTTTAGTATTCGATTAACCTAAATAAAATACTGTATCAACAATCAGTTCCTCGTTTTTACGTAAAATGGCCAACAAATGTCCCAACGTTTACTCAGTACAAGATACCCTATTTAGCCAAGCGTTTTATCCTTGGTTCCGAAACTAGAGACGAATTAAGAGGTGTTACTGTACATGATTAAGTACCTGCCATATCTCCTTGAGCACCAATCGTCATACAACTAACGGAGCTCCTAGCCGTGTTCAATCTCCGACTGAGGAAATCTTGAAATCTGACGGAGTCGATCAGGGTTCCTGTGCCAAGGACACGATTCGAAGGAAATCCTGAGAGTTTCCAAGTGATGTAAGACATTACATCGGCCGGCTGCGTCACGACCAGCAGAACAGACTTGCACGCGAATCGTGCGATGCCTGGTATAATCGTCTTGAACATTTTGAAATTGTGCTTTACATTGGGACTCTCGCCGGGCGGTGGTTCGCAGGCAGTAATTATGACTACTGCCGATTCCTTCACCATGCTGATATCTTTCACGATAAAAAATTCCAAATTACTAATGGAAAATAAAAATTGTGCATAAGTATATTTACTGTCCCCTCATGGAGTAAATTTATGCTCCTCAAACCATCTATTTTTCCTGATAATATCTATTTTTTTCTTTCCCTATTGAGAAATATACAAAACAGAATCGTTATTTTAATATAATCGTCTCTTACGGTATAGTGTACTTAGAAATTAGAAGTTAGAACCCCCAGGTGAAAGGAGAAAGCCGTTCGCTGAATATTTAAGCGAACCACATTCTAACGGGAAAGGATACTCGGAAAATTGTTAAGAATCAGATGTCCCGTCACGGAGACCCTTCAAGAATCTCGCCCTTTGATGAAGTCATCGGAAGCTCGTGGCATACAAAACAGTGGAAAGGATCATTTCCACCGGTTTCGAGAGATGGAATTCCCTCTTTTCTTTTTTTTTTTCTACAGGGGGAGATGCACCGATAAAGGCGCGAAGAGTACACAATCCAGCGCGGTCGGAAAAATAAAAAAGACGGAGACTTTAGTTAACGCCTGTATAAACGGCCTGCAACGTGGTCGCGCATCACGCCAAGATACACTCTCTCTTTCTCTTCTGGCAGGTAGATGATGCCCAAGATAAATTAGCCGGTAAAAACTCGTCTCTGTTCTACTTGTTCCGGTAATTGCTACCTCGGATGGATCGAGATTAAAGGGGTGTTCAGCCCTGGTGTTCGTACGGACGCGAGCGTTACAAACGTAGGAACGACCAGTATGAATTATGAAATTACGCTGTGAAATTAATGTTATACCGGGCGTTCGAACGGAACTCCGTGGTAAGTAATTTCGTCCGAACATCAATTTCGGAGCAGATTACGTGAAGATGATCGAAAATTGAACAGATGCACCTGAACGAGAAAAAACAACATCGTGCGATCGGGTCACATGGGAAAAAACGTAACAAAATGGGATATAACACTTTTTTTTACTGTTACACCATTAATCTTCAAGAATTGTTACCCGATAATACGGACAGAATTTAATCGACATGTGTTTCCGATCGATCCCTTCATCGATGCTTCGTCATAAAGTCCCAAAACATCAAAATCCTCGAATCTGAAAACCTCGCGGGACACGGTCGAAGCGCAACGTTTTCAGTCCAACGACCGCGAAAGGGCCCAAAGTCTTTTGTTCCCTGAAATTCCCGAGCAAGGTGGTATATTTTTTAACAAGCGACGGTTTACAAGGCCAGTCTGGAGGGAACTCGCGCGCACGCGGAGACACCGAGAAAGCCATGGGGATACCGAAAAAAATGTATCGTGGAGTCGATCACGGCCGAGATAAATAAGAGTGCCACGAAATTTACGAGCCTGCCCCGTGAAAAGCTCCGGGGAAACGCTTGGCTGGCCCGTCGCGTCGGCGTGTAAGCACGCGGCAATGTAGATGAGGGCCGAGATTAAAGGACAGGACCAGAAGGATCCTCGGGACTGCTCGTTCCTAAACCCCAAAACTCATTCCCCCTCCTTCCCTTCCCCCTTTTTTTTCGAGGCTGGTGACCGTTGTTTCTGACCCGTTGCACGTTGACAGAGGTCCCTGTCTCCTTCCCGTGGAACCCGATGCGACGGCCGGGTCTTTTTAAAATGGTCCCCGCGGCCGATGCTCGCCAGGCTCATCAGTCCGAACGTATCAATCGGAAACTTTCGTGAATCCCACCCCATCGTTCCAGAAGCAGATTATCGTTCGATCGCCGACACGCGGAAGAAATCGGTCTCCTCTGTCCCTGAGCCGATCGCTTCTGGGGCCCCCTCGATTCCTTTTGCGGGTAAGTAGGCCATGACGCTGAAAACGCCCGGGACGTGATTCATTTCTGTGCACATTGTACACTTGGTTCGCCTCTACTACTCTTTGTTGTTCCGGTATTTCGATGATATTTCACGGGTCGTTTGTGGTCGACGGGATGACGGTGACGGAAACGAGGGTTATGGAAGTATTGAAACGCTATCGGTCGGAAATTTTAATCGATAGAGTTTGAAATGAAATGCTTGGCATCGTACTGGGTTACTAAGAAGGTTTGATAAGTGATTTCTATCAGTCTACGTTGCTTCAATGCAATAACCCCTAACTGGCTCAGGTGGAAATCTTATTACTTGTTACAACTTTGTTATTTTGCATTCTCATGTTAGAAAATGTTGAAATAAACAAGCATTTTTTTAAGTGACTGTTGAATAAAAATAAAATATTCTACAAGTGTTCATGAGGTTCCTCAGACCCCACCTGACTAATTAGGGATTAAATTATGCATATTAACGTGAGTATGTCGATGCTAGATTCAGATACTGGTGATGTGCTACGCTAATTGGACGACAGCGTTAATTCTTCTCCACGAAGCATTACTGTTAAAAAATTATTGTGTAAAAAAAAGGCTTAGATTGAGATATAACGAACTATATGTATACCTGACGTGCCAGTTACTAGAGGACTTCCCAAAAAAACCCCGACGTGCTGAATGTCTTCGGCCTCGGCGGAAGCCTTGTTCGCGTCGTAGTCGATCAGGCAGACCTCGCTCGCCAACCTCTAAAGATCACGGGGAATCAAACGGTTGATCGAGCGTTGCGATCTGCATGCCTCGATCTCCCCTCTCTATACTAACTCTCATCAGTATCGCGATGGCGCAGGCCATTCCGATCTTCCCTATGCCCACGATCGAGACTTTGACGCGATGCGGATAGACGTCGCATGGGCCCAGCTGAGTCGTTATCAAGGCGTTCTTCGTGGTGGTCGTGATCGGGACCTTGTCGTCCTGGAATGTGGAAACGTCCTCGCATTTCAGTATCCTTGTCTCGTTATACAAAAATTCAGAAGCTGCCCCGATAAATATAATATTATAAACTAAATTTCTAAATTTATAGTTACGTAGGAAATTTCGTGAAGATTATTTAATACGTTATAATATGAGAATATTCGGTGGAAAGTATTAAAAAAACCACATTATGGTTCGATTTTTATTTTAACTTTAAAAAGTGAGGCTACATGTGAAAATAAAAGGGAAATTAAGAATGAAACAATTGTATTGCAGCTTTTGTCTTCATGGAATTAACAATCCAAAATTGAAAATGAAGCCTTCGACACAATTTCGGTCATTCTTAATTCCAATCGAATTAATCCAAAATACCAATAGAAATGGCAGAAAACTTTACATCGTCGCACGAGTCGCTGTTGATCTCCGAATCCTCCTTCGCCGTGATCTCGGTCTCGTCCATGCCGCGGGACCTGGAACCGTCAATTCGTTAACCACACGATTTCATCCGGGCAATTCGATGGCCGAATTTAAGTATCCCGCGAACCTTTTAGGGCGCTAATTGGCAGCTTCAAGTAGAGACGTTCAACGTCCTTCGTGGCTTCTCTGGCCCCCTTCCCAGCACGGTGGTTATCGGACTGCCGACTGGATGATCGTCAAGGTGGTCGGTCGGCTGTTCTTTCGCATTCGGGTTGAAAGTGCTGAAACAACCGGGCAGGTAGGAGAGAGAGGATCGCTCGTATGCAGATCCGGATCGACCTACGCAACCGCCGAGGATGCTCTTTCGGTGGGGGTCAGGTATTTCAGGCTAATCGCGCGCTCCGTTACGAGAAACAGAGAGAGGACTAAGAGCTGATGGTGCAGTAGAGGGGAGGGGAAAGGTGGACACGCGGGAAATTCTAGGGAGGAGAATAACGACGGAAGTTATCCGCGCGCTTCGCTGTAAATTAGCCGCAGGTAGTCGCCCCGGGAGCGCAGGTACATCGCGCCAGATTGTTCATATATTTCCGACTCGAATGTATACCCACGCGAGAACGAGCGCGTGTGAAATACATTATTTTCGTGCGTCGATGGCGTTACACACAACCCCTCGCGCGTTTCTTTTACGATTATCGACCTCCGCTTGCCGCTTTACGATTGACATTGTAATTTGTCACGGGTATATATGCGCCGGTCTCTGGGAATAACGTCGAGGCAGTTTCTTCTTTTTTCTTTGTTCTTGCTCCTATAAAAGCCCAACGTAATAATTGGACCCTGCAGTGCACGAGGTGATTAAGATTTTATAAAATTGTTTAGCGTTAGTTTCTTTAACACCTTTAGATTACCACTCGTTATGTACCTGTTCTCCTGTAGTTATATGAAAGTGAATAATCCCCAGTATGATTGTAACTTTAACTATACGGTATGAATAGACTGCGGATTTTCATGTCGAATATACTTCTATCACATCTATTTAGAAGAGTCCAAAATCGTGCCGTATCTCGTTGATAAATTACGGTCGATATTTGTGTGTTAAGGCGTTCCTAGTGGAAGATGTTTCGAATCAATGAAGTTCGTTTTCGCGCGTGGTTCCCGCGGATCGGGGCGCCACTTGGTCGCTCTTGGGACACATTCAATTTTAACGTTAATAATCGCCGGGAAAAATGACGGTTCTTAAATGGCGGCCATTAATCAGGCCCCGATCGATATTGCGAATGCGGCTTAACGACCGCCGTGATAACATCGGCCGTCCCGTGGCCCAGAGTTATTGAATCGCGTCAAATAATATACGAGCCAATAATGTATGAATAGTCCGGCAATTATGGGCCCTCGCCGATCGTATCTAAGGGCGCGTTTGTAATTTAGTAATCGTTCATTCTCGCCGCAGCGCGGGCGGGGTATCCCGAGCGAATATTGCTGGGGACGCGATCGCGTGTACACCGTTTCGTTTATTTCCAATTGAACATCCGCAGGTGTGTCGCGAATTCTTGCTCTTCGTTTCTCGTGACCACGCACACGAGTGGTTCCACGGCGTGGAGACCGTGTCTGTGGGTTTTCTCAGTGAACCACGTGAATTTCTCATGGATGATGATAAGTCCTCCCTCTTAGAAACAAATGATAGAATTTCTATTAAACAGTTTAGCTGGATGTGTAGCGATAAAGGTGCTTGAGCATTTCCAGTGATTCAAATTGTAATAAATTTATTGAACAGAATAAAAAATATAAAATAGTAGAATATGTGGCGGCTTTAGGACTGCCACCACGCCCTTGTTTCTAGGCGTTTAGTTTTTAGCGTTTCTCACGGTCTCGTGCGAGCCTGGTTATTGTCATGAACATTTGCTAACCAGGTTCGGGCGAGACCCGGGGTCTTACAGCTACGGCCACTTTTATCGAGGGTCTTTGGATTTTCCTAAAGGTCCTTCTTTGTTAAGCTTTTCTCTGTTTTAATTTTAACTTCCCGTTTAGGGCGCCGTGAAGGTCGAGTGCCCGTGCACATTTGGCGACCAGCTTGTGCGGTCCTTGTTGTACCCTTGATTTCTCCTTTTTACCATTTCGACACTTTCTCCGGGTTTCCCGGCATTTTCGGTTTCCTCCCCTACGTCGTCTGTCTTTCTTTTCACTCTGTCTATCCCTTTTCTTTTCGTCCTTTTTAAGTGAGCGCGTAAGGACGAGCGGGGTCAGTCTGGCTATACCGAGGTTCTGAACAGAACTTTGTCGCGAGCGCAAGGAACTTGTATACCAATAAACTAAGTATCACTGAAACGTGCTGATTACTGCTCTACTCCCTGTAATCCCACAAATATATATAATTCGGAAGGTGAGTGTATTTAAGGTAGAGTGTGGTCGTGGAAATTTGTATAATATAGTCTTGACATTTATACTAGGTGTATTAATCAGTAATCCCCTGTTTTTGTTTAATTGCGTGGCGATATATGTTAAACTGAAAGTATTTTGTCAATGTTTTGTTGAATAACGATGGTCCAGCATGCGAGTGTGTGTTATGTGATTTTTATATTCAAGTGAATCTTGCTGGATCGATCGCGATATATTTAGGTACACGTATTTCCCTCCCTCCCATCGAACAATTACAATTTGTCGCGACTTCTCATACTTCACGATTGCAAATGTATTTCGCGTCACAGAACGTGTCGATAGTGTTCGGTCGTTGAATTCATTGAGAGTGTTCGAAAGTCCTCCCTCCCGTGATGCTTTCAATTGGATAATTCGTCTTGCGCGGTTTTTTATTGACCCGGTACGGTACTTATCATCATTCATAAGGCTAGTTGAAATCGGTATCTATGAATTAAACGATTCCTCAGGGAACAGCTACGCGTACGATCGCCGTGGCGAGGAAGTAATTTAAACTCCGACGTTTATAGTTAACCGCGGCAAGTGGGAACGAAACGACCTGCTCCTAGATAATTAATTTTCCGCTTTAATTAATCATCCCCCACGATTTTATCGGGCCGGCTGGGTCAAGTAACAATAACGATCGCGTAAAGCCGGCCCCTTATCGGTTATCCCGTCGGTGCGAGAACGTTCCCCCTTGATTTACTAGCGGGCTCCGCCAATTAATGAAACGTCGATTGTTACCGGACAGGAGTAAAGAATCGTGTGTATGCTGTGTTCGTGGTTTCAGAAATTGGAATTTTCAAACCTATCACATTTTTCTTTTCAAAGAATTATTTTAATTTTCCAAACGGACTTTTTTCGTACCACTTAAGTTGACCTCAGACTACATAAACTGGCTCCAGAGAGTAAGAAATCAAGTAGGACTCTGACAAGAAAAACAACGCTAAAACAATGACTGTTCAGCGCCGCAAGAATGTATGATTAATCGTGCCTCGAACTGGTAACCCGCTCGCGGATGCTTTTTTAATTAACAGCGGGCCGAGTAGACGTGACAGGAGTAGCGAGCACGAAATCGTCCCGCGATAAAAGCGCGATCGCCTCGATAACGATGTCTCTCTCCTTCTTTCTCTCTCTGTCCCTCTTGGTACGCCAGGATTCAGCTGAACGGAACAGTGCAAACCGAGTGAGTCGGCCCGGTTCCGCCATGCGGGAGAAGATAGTCCTTGAAGGTTGGTCGTAAGCAACCGATCTTCTGGTTGTACCTCGGGCCCAGTCAACCGATCCGGACACCGGCTCGCGCGCATGCCTCCGGTGCACAATGGTTGGTAGTACCGCAGCTGATACAAGTATGTTCGCCGTGCAACCGGAATTTTAATTGGCTATTTGTTTGTCCGCTACACTTCGCGGCGCTGCTATTGTCCGGTCCCGCTGCTGGAGAAGAATGATCACCGTTCACCCCCCACCACCCCTCAACCCCCTACCTGTCCCATCGCTCGTAGTTTTGCTTTTCACCAGCGTTTGGTATTAATCCACCTCGAGGAAAGTCTCTCCTCTCCGGTGAGAATCGGGGTCTCCCTTCCTCTCTCTTCATTCGAGTCTCCCGCTTAGCCTCGAGTGTATTACGATATTTCGTTGCCCCGGTACCGATCCAACAAAGATTAAGACTCGGTGAAATTGCAGTGATTATACCGTTGAACCCGTATATACCACGAGGCGCAAGTGTAATCCCCGCTCCGTGGTCCAGCGCGACGCGCCGTATCGTTTCTCGCGGTGTACACTTATCGAGTCATTATGTACGATACGCTGTAATTGTGCGCCGGGATTTTTTTTGTTACTTCGTCGGGGTTCCTACCTAAGCGATGGACATTAATCATCGATACGATCTTCTTTCGACGCCGCCATTGCGAATGTCTCAATTTACCCAGCCGTGAACGTACCACCAGGGCGCGTTTGTCGGTCCACCCTCCCCTCCCGGATTTATCTCCATCGAATTTAATTTCGAGCAGCCGTAACGGGCGCGGCTGCGAATTTAATTCAACGCCATCGCCTCCCAACCCCCTCCAACGATTCTCTTCGGTAACGCGCCCTAATAAATTAGGAAGCGACAGGCCCGCGATTCGCTTTAATCGCCGGCGCAAGAACCGAAACACCGTGGACCGACCGCTTGTCCCAGAAATCCCGCGGACAGCCCGAAGCGGGACAAGGAACGCCGATCTGGGGGCCCGACCGGCTTCGTGGCCCATGGTTTTTGCACGGTCCGCGGAACTTATTCCAATTAAAATCGGTACCTCTGCTTTAGGTCAGACCTCCGCGGGTACGGGTTGCGAATTAACCGGGCCCCCGTACACCAGGCGACGACGATGATTTCCTAAATGAGCGAACTGCACCGCGATACCTTGCCGCTTATGTAAGCGGGTGTCTCGATCGTGAACGGAGAGGTTTTTATCGCTATTAACCCGTGGACTGTTCGGCTCAAATGTTCGTTACGTGGTGGGTGGCTTTGGGTGGGTAGTTGTATGAGGTTGTATGAGGTTTTCAAATTGATTTGGTTTGTAATAATGAAGTAGTCAGGACTTTTATATATGTATAGATAGTACATCTGATAGATAGTAACACTGTTAGATACATGCT